ACTTTAAAGTCCTAGAGATTCCCAATGTACAACGCTGCTCACATTCTTCCTTCCTTTCCACGCCTCTTATCCTCCTGCTCGTTCAGACCATGAAGACCTCGGGCTTCCTTCTTCTAAGTTGGCCTCTTTACCTTAATCGCTCCCATTTCAATCTCCCACAAATCTGGAATATGAATCTATAATCTTACCCGGAGGCCCTTGACCCTACCTGTACTTTAGAATCAGCTAGGACACTGTTAAAAGCAAAAATCAAGGCCCACTACCAGAGACTTGAACTTAACTGTTTTGGTCTGGTTTACTGTTATTTATTCTTAGATCATTTTAATGTATAGCTAAGGCTGAGAGTCACTGTTGGCCAAACTACGAAAGTGAGTTTCTCAAACGCACACCTGGTTTTCTTACAAGTGTCTTGGACCATTTTGTCTAGCTCTCTTTTTATCATACTTCTCTGCCTTGTACGACCGCTGTGCTTTAACAAATGTGCGCAATTTCCTCAGTTACAAATGAACGTACAGCTTTCATTCAAACTCTCCCCCATCAACCCACCTTTTTTTCCTGCTCTTTCTCCACCTCTATTTTCTTGCAGCAAGTAGTTTTTTATCATTAAAAAAAAAAATCTGTCAACTAGTTCTTGAGCGGAAAAACCTCTCTGAACCTGGCTTTCTCGTCGCCAAGATAAAGAGGCTGAAGGAGATGGCCTCTAGGATGCTTTCTGGCACGAAACTTATGATCCTAAGATTATCTTATCAAAACAAGCTCTTGGACTACTGGTGAATGACGGAAGTTCGCAGTCTACTTCTCTACTAGCCAGTTCAAAACAGATCTAGACTCTCAGAGGATTTTTTTTCAATGAGAATCATTACCACCTCTGATTCAACCTGACAAATCACATCAATCTTTTTAGTAAGGCAAGATCCAACCCGTTATTTTAACCACTGTAATTCGAACGCAAGCCAGAAAAAAGGTAAGCAGTACCATCACACCGATTCTGAAATCGATGACTACTGTCTTTACAAGTGGACTTAATCAGGTTGTTCTAGTATTGACATAGAAGCCTGGCCACAGGAAACACACATGCTGTTTTCAAAGTAAGTTGATAAGCTCCATCTGAATAGATGAAAATCATGGCAATGAGGTCATCTGCTACTCAGTCGTAATAGGGAAGTGCAAATAACATGCAGAAAAGCCTCCCAGCTCCAAATGTTGGTCAAGTATATTCATTGTGAACAAAAACTTCCCGGTGAGGAGAACAGAATGGTCAAGACTAACGTGAGGCAGAAAGGTGCTGGGTTGGCTGATAAGAAATGCAGGAAAAAAAAAAAAAAGAAATGCAGAAACGTTGTGTCTCTAGTTCTGACTGTCGCCCAGCTATCAAGAAAGAACCTGCTCAAACCAGGCCTTTGTTTCTACAGCCTCAAAACGAAGACACTGAGCTGAATAAACCACTTCCCAAACTACCTGATGATAAAATCACCCAAGCAGCTTTCTAGCAATACAGAATACCAGGTCCTTCCCTTTTGATGTAACAGGTGTGTGCTGTGACACAGCCGTCAGAATTGTTCATTGGTTCTCTAGCTAATTGTTTTCATACATGAGAAACCTTAGGGAAGATACTATTTCCAGCCCTGGCATTCTACTGCATAATAGAATCATGCATCTAGTAGATGCTCAATAAGTAGAGAGAAAAATGGCTTGCAAACAGTCTGAAAGATGGAAAGGACCGTGAACTGTCTAG